TGTATGTAATCCCAGCACTTGGGAGGCTGAGACAGGAGGATCGCTGTGAGTTCGAGGCCAGCCTGAACTCCATAGCAAAACCCTATTTTTAAAAAACAACCACAACCACAACAAAACCCAAGAACAACAGTAAGTTTCAGAAGATCTCTTCTTGTAATCTGGAGGGTCTGTGATGACCTTCATATACGTGTATTAGGAGCATTTTCAGCACCATTTTTTAGTAGAAAAATAAAGTAGCAAATAAATTCAAGTTTTGCACGCACTTGACTTGGTGGAATACAGCTGTTTGGTAAGAGCTGACATTGTGCTGCAAGCATCAAAAATATATAAACCTACCGAAGGTTGTGGTCGTATTAGCATCAAACTGTAGCGTGTGGGTTAGGCTTGTAGTGCAGTGTCCAGCACCTGTCTGGCTCCACAGGTAGGGAAATTTAAGCGAAGGTCTTGCATTTACCCAGACCTGGGTAGGAACCCTGAACACAGTTAACTTGAGAATTAATATAAGCTGAATGTTAACATACAGATTACCTTCTTGTTTCCCGACGGCAGTAGCTTTGATTGATTCTTGTCTTTTCTCTGATCCCCTGCGTACCTACCTTCCCTTCACACCTGAGAGTTACATCTTTGGATGGGCTGTCACTAAGAAGTTTGGATTGCCACCCTTCATGCCTAACACCACGGATGCGTCGACCCTCGTGGGCCTTGGTGAGGTCCTGTGTTGGAGTATGATAACTAGACTCGCTTGAGACCATGTCTTAAACTGTACCAGACATACTTCTTACTTGCTGGTGGTTTGCTTTTCTGAGACAGGACCTCCCTTGTAGTACAAGCTGCTCTTGAACTCACTGTGTAGCCCAGGCTGGCCTTGAGCTTGGGGCCGTCCTCCTGCCTCAGCCGCCCTAGTACTGGGATGAGAGGCGTGCACCACCACCCTTGGCCGGAAGTGCTTTTCAAAGTACTGAAATTTTAAGAAGGCGGTTAATTCCTCAAATTTAGTTCCTTATATAGGAACTCGTTTTCGTTTTGTCTTTTGGGGTGGTAGTGGGTTTGGAAGCCGGGATACCACTCATGCCAGGCAGCATGAACCACTGAGCATTGGCTCAGCCTGCCAAATATTGTTCTTGATGTCGTTTATTCTCAGGGCGCAGGTTTTCACACAGCAGCTCGGGTTGCTTTCCTGTCCTGGTCCTTTCTCTTAAAATAATAAAAGGAAAGAGACCTGAAAGAAGGCTTTAAAATAAATATTTCCCGCATATTTTGACACATGTTATTTCTATTCATAATTCTTAACTAAATTTAGATTTTTATTAATCCAATGTGACCTAAAATTTTGCATTAACAGCACAATGTGGAATTGGGCTTATTCTCCTTGGCTACAGATAAAGCCATCACGTCGAAAATGGCTCTTTCCGACAAAAAGGTGTTCCTTTGAAATAAAGTCTTATTCACTACATTCCTCTTAGAGTTAATGTGAATTTTAGTGCCTCTAATTTTAGATTGAAGTGAAGTCTAGAATAAAACCCACCAGCTGACAATTGAATTTATAGATAGTTGTGAATATTTCAGGCTTGAATAATAGAGCTGTAGAATTTCAGAGACAGAGAGCGAGAGAATTAAGACTCACTGTAGTTTTAGGTTATAATGCAATATGCTGGAGGGACGGCCGGCGCGGGAGTCCTTAGGAGACCACTGTGTCTTGCAGCTTTCTGTCTACGTGGTGCTCCAGGACCAAGGACCGGGGGATGCCTTGGGGCTGACCTGCACCTGTGTGAGGGGTCCTTCTGCCCCTTCCCAGGAAGAACTACTGAGGAATAAAAGCTGCAGATCTCTGCAGTGCTGCCTCTAATTTCCGCTGGCCCAGCTGTTTTTTTTTTTTGTTTTTTTTTTTGTTTTTTTTTTAAATAAGTAAACACCATAAGCCAGGCTTGGTGGTACACACCTGTAATCTCAGCACTTGGGAGGCTGAGGCAGGAGAATCTCCACCAGTTTGAGCCCAGCCTGAGCTACATAGTAAATTATTTCTTTTTTCTTGTCTTTTTGACACAGGGTCTCACTGTGCAGTTCAGGCTGGTCCTGAACTCACTTTGTAGCCCAGGCTGGCCTCAAACTCGCAGGGATCTTCCTGCCTCAGCCTCCTGAGTGCTGGGATTTAGGGCAAGCGCCACCATTCCTGGCTTACACAGTAAATTCAATACCAGCTTGAACTATATAGTGAGACCCTGTCTCAGTCCCCTTGTCCCCGTGAGTAAGCACCGTGAAGAACTCTGTTAGCTTCCAGACATTACTCTGGGCCTTGGACTCAGATGTGGATTCAGACCCCGTCCCTACCGCTTCCTAGCAGCATGGCCTTCAGTCTCAGAATGGTGTACTTCCCTAAAGAGCCACGGCGCCCAGCTCACAGGGCTGTCTTGGGTTATTCTGTGTCGTTCTGTTTTGCCTCATCTTGGTTTCAGCCCCGTCCATGCTAGGCGAATGTTCTGCTGCTGAGTCACGTGCCTGGCTCAGAGTCTTGGAACGTTTCTTTTTCTTGCAGTCCAGGGATTAGACCCAGGGCCTCAAGCAGGCTACATGTGCCTTGCCTGAGTCAGTCCTCCGGACTTTTTCGTTTTATTTTCTGAGACAGGCTCTCATTAAACTGCTCAGGCTGGCCTTGAACTTGTGATCCTCCCGCCTCGGCCTCCTGAGCAGGTGGGAGTACAGGCGTGCACCACCACAGCTAAGACGGCTTGGCTCCGTGTGGAATGAAGAAATGCAGGAGAAGTGCTCAGCTCCGGCAGCTGGCGAGGAAGAGGCGCTTGACACACGGCAGCCCCCTCAGTATTCCCAGGGTGACAAAGCTGCGTGCACCCTGCAGCACAAATCCACTCCCTCGCCTGCGTGCCCCGGCGTGGGCAAGGTTTCGGGGGCTTCCAGGCACGTGTGTCCCAGAGTTTCGGTGCTTGCCTCCGGGTTCTTGTGAAGTCGTGGGCTGTATTTTGGAGGGACAGCTGGCTGGAGATTCCCTTTTCGGGGGCCTGAACACCATGCGTATGACAGATCTTTGGATGTTTAGCAAACAACTGTTCCACGCATGGGAGGGTCATTTCTCGCCTTGTCCCTCAAGTCAAGAGTTTGGCAGTTTTTGTTTTTGTTTTTGTTTTTTGAGATGGGGCCTTGCCATGTACAGGGAGTCTGCCTTGAACTCACTATAGAGGCCAGGCTGGCCTCAAAGTTGCTGTGATCCTCCTGCCTCAGCCTCCCAGGTGCTGGGATGACAGGTGAACCAGCAACCACACCCCGCTTTTCTGTAGATTTTAGAGGTCTACAAGGAAATGCCCGAGGGGCCAAAAGTTAGAGTGGATGGAGGGCACAGGGAAGGGAGGGGAAGAAACCCCAGCCTGGGGCATGGGTAGGTTTTGCGATCAAGCGGTTCAAAGAAAGGAAAAATCAAATAAAATCACTCCGTGCCTGTCGGGCAGATGTTGCGAGGAGTTTATTGTCATGGCTGAGAGGGGACAGGGGAGCAGCAAGCTGCTGTAGTAGCGAATGACTCCCAGCTTGGCCTGCACGATCGCAAGCGGTCACAGTGTGCTCTCCCCCGGGGCGCAGGGGCTGCAGGCAGCGCCAGAGCCCAGCCCAAGCGGCCACAGGGGCTGGAGGGCTCCCATGGGGGCCCCTGTCCCTGGCTCTGGGGAGAGAGAGAGGGAGAGAGAGACAGAAAGAGAAAGAGAAACAGATGACAGAGAGGGCGAGAGATGTAAAGGGGAAGGAAAAGGGCCATTAGAAATCTCAGTTTTTCAAGACCAAGTCTGATACATTTCTGTAGTATTGAATAGGAAGTACAGGCATGCCTTGGTGGTGCTTGACTGCTCTGTGTGTGTTGTTTGTTTTGTTTTGTTTTGAGATAGGCTCTCACTTTTTAGTTCAGGCTGACTTTCAACTCACTGTGTAGCCCAGGCTGGCCTGGAAGTCACAGTGATTCTCCTGCCTCAGCCTCCCAAAGGCTGGGATTGCAGGTGTGGGCCACCGGCTTTGACCGCTCTGGGACACGGTCGAATTGTCACTCGATACGTTTGGATGCAAACATTTTGCCCTGGTGCTCCTCGGGGGTTGTGGCACGTGAGCTAGAGTAAGTGGGTGCCGCTGCCCGTGACTAGACACTTTCGGCCAGCGGCGTTGATTGGCCCCTGTCATTTCCGGTTTTCCTCCCACCCTGGAACCCGCTGATGAGACTGCGAGGTCCCATGTGTCGGATGTTGGACTTGCAGGGCTTTTACCCGCTCAGCTCTCCAAACAGGTGGGACACACCCAGGGCACACGCAGAACACACAGGACACGTAGGACACATGCACGCACACACCCCGATTGATCACGCAGTGCTCACGCCGCGAGTGTCGGCTCCAGAGAACCCCTCTTCAACCCTGACTCGGTTCCTTCGAAGCTTCCCCGGGCTCAGCGCTCCAGGCCGGACGGTTGGATAAGGACGAATCGCCCCCTCCGCGCTTGCCGGGTTTCAGGGAGCGGGTTTCAGGGAGCGGGGTTTAGGGAGGCGCGGGGCTTCGCAGTCCTCCGCCTCTCCCGGGTGGACCCGGGCCAGTGGAATGGTTTCTGCTCCTCTGAGCAGAGGGGCGAGCCCGCCTCCGGGCGCTTTCCGGACGGCCCTGTCCTGCCCGGTGCCGATTCCCTTCTGCAGAGCAAGGATACTGACTGCCCAGAGAATGATGTGCAGCCCCAGCCCCTGGGAAATGGTTTCCAGGAGCGAGGTCTTTAACAAAATTTCCTGAAGCCTTATTGGTGGCGCGCGCCTGTAATGTAATGCCTGTACTCAGGAGGCTGAGGCAGGAAGATCACCAGGAGCTCAAGGCCAGCCTGGGCTACACGGCGGGACTTGGTCTCAAAAGAAAAACGTCTTTCTTTCCCTCCTCCCCCTCCTTCTCTCCCCCCCTCCCCTCCCCCTCCCCTTCCCTGGTTTCTCTCTGGCCCGGCGTCTGACCTCTCCTCTCTCTGCCGCCCCACCGCAGGCTTCTCTGCAGAATGTCCAACAAAGACCGGCACATTGACTCCAGCTGCTCGTCCTTCATCAAGACGGAACCCTCCAGCCCGGCCTCCCTGACGGACAGCGTCAACCACCACAGCCCGGGCGGCTCCTCGGACGCCAGCGGGAGCTACAGCTCCACCATGAACGGCCACCAGAACGGGCTGGACTCGCCGCCCCTCTACCCGTCGGCGCCGCTGCTGGGGGGCAGCGGGCCGGTGCGGAAGCTCTACGACGACTGCTCCAGCACCATCGTGGAGGACCCGCAGACCAAGTGCGAGTACATGCTCAACTCCATGCCCAAGAGACTGTGCCTGGTGTGCGGGGACATCGCGTCCGGCTACCACTACGGCGTGGCCTCCTGCGAGGCCTGCAAAGCCTTCTTCAAGAGGACGATCCAAGGTGAGTCCTGCCGCCCACCTCTGGAGTCACGGCGCTGGGTCAGTCCGCCTGGCAGGAGGGGCCCGAGGGCGGGCCGAGGTCGCCTTCCTGTGCCGGGCATTCGGTCTTCACTGAGGGTGGAGCCGTGATCCTCAGGGCTGGGGCGATTGAAGAGGTCAGAGGGCTTTGTCTTGTTTTTGTTTTTGCCTTGCTTTTTGAGGCGGTCTCCCTATGTACTCCAGGCTGGCCTTGAACTCATGGCGATCCTCCTGCCTCAACCTCCCAACTACTAGGGTGACAGGCAATGCACCAGCAAGCCTGGTTATTTTCTTTATCTTTTGAATGACTCTATATAAAAGGACTTCTAAATGATATTGATGAAATAGTTTTTATTTATTTATTTATTTATTTATTTATTTATATATTTTTAGTTTATTTGAGATAAGGTCTCACTTTGTAGCCCAGGCTGGCCTCCAACATGTGGTGACTCTCCTGCCTCAGCCTCCCAAGTGCTGGGATTACAGGGGTGCACCACTGCACTTGGCTTGGCTTTTATTCGTTTATTTTTAAACAGCTTTTCATGATAAAATACCCTTCTAACAGACATAAGTGCTACATACCCAAACCTTCATGCATCTCCAGATTTATAAATAACAGCATTTCCTTACGGCTGTAGTTCATACATGCCATTTAAAGTAGCAGCCCACGATAGAGCTCAGCTCATTTTAAAAGCCAGAGAAGACTCTTCTAGCAGCAGATCAGATTTTACATTTTTTAATCCCTTGGGATACACGTGAGGGAAAGAAAGGAGGGGAAGGAGGAGCAATCCTTTGCCAGTGCCTGCGTGAAGGTCTTGCCCGGTGTTGTCCAAGGGTTTCTCCTCTTCCTCCTCTTTCTTGCTCTTTTGTTTTCCTGTCTGGGTCACAGCTGGCACCTTCCGGGAGCCGCAGAGGGGCTGAGAGCTGCCGGCGAGGCGGAGCGTCTGCCCAGGGGCCTGGGGAGGGGCGCACCAGTCTGCATCCTGGGCCTCTGCTGCCCAGGCTCGGGGCATACGGTCCCCCCAGGGACCCCAGGGCACCTCGGGATGGGCGAGGGTGAGGGTGAGGCGGAGAGCTGGGGTGCAATGCTTCTGTAAGCCGTGCAGGGCCAAGGGTTTGAACCCCAGATGCACACGCACATGCATGTGCTCACACACACACACACACACATGCAAATACACACTCACATGTGTACACTCATACTTCCACTACTAACGTGCAGTTTTTTCCCTGGGTGAAGGCACACACCTGTAATCCCAACAGGCTGAGGCAGGAGGGTTGCCTCTGGTTCCAGGCCAGCCTGAGCTACCTATGGAGGAGTTCAAAGCCAGCCTGAAGCACAGAGGGAGAAAAAATTTTTTAAAAGTGCAGTTTTTCAAGTCATCATAAGTTGTACATAACACAGTGGATATTTAATCTAACTTTTTCATAGCCATTCAGAGTTGTAAGTGAAGAGCACAAAGCCAGGTTAGTGCGAGGTGTGCTGGCACAAACCTGCCATCCCAGCACTCGTGAGGCCGAGGCAGGAGGCTTGCCATGAGTCTGAGGCCAGCCTGGGCTACAGAGTGAATTCAAGGCCGGCCTGAACTACATAGCGGGAGCCTGTCTCAAAAAGATAACAAAACAAAGAAAGTAAAAGCCAGGTTAGTGCAGAGGACGGATGAATTCCTCAAACATTTTAACAGCTGTGTTTTCACATTCTCCGGCTCACGGTCACCATGTTTGATGACTGCCGTCTTACAAAACCCATTATCCACTGCCCAGGGGGAGTTCCCTCTGTCCGCCTCTGTCCGTCCACACGGACCTGTGCTTCCTGCGATGCACGAGGGTTCAGGGAAAGGTAAAATGCAGGACCCGGTTCCCGCTCAGCGCCTCCGTGAATACTTAAACGCGGCTGTTAAAAGTCACAGGTGAAGACAGTAGGCTAAGACAGGAGGGTCTCTCTACCTCTCTCTCCAGCCTTTGGAAACTAATCTCCTTGAGCGATTCCCTAATGCCGCAAGCCTGGGGTGTGGACGCACACTTCAAGTCTTTGGAATGTGAACAGTGGTGAACTCCTTATGGTTACAGAATATATTATTTTAGTTTTTATTTATCTGTTTTTTGTTTTTCTGAGCCCAGGCTGGCCTGGAACACAGCGATCCTCCTGCCTCAGCCTCCTGAGGGCAGGGGTGACAGCCTTGAGCCACCATGCCTGGTTCAAGAGAAAGTGTTTTAAGCTATTGGTCGTTTGAGCTTGTGTATCTCTCTCTCTGGGTCAGAGTGCACAGACAGGAGCCGCCCTGGGAGGTAAATTAGCACATGCTGTGCGTGGGCCTAGGCCGGCGGCCCCGTGTCCCTCGCTGCGCCATTCCGATCCCGGGGCCCCGGCGCGTGGCGGCCGAGGTCACCCTTAGCAGCACTTTATGACAGTCGGGCCCAGTATGCATGAAGGCCAGTTCCCCGGCGAACTCCTGCCCTGCGGGGAGAGCCCAGGGTTGGGGCGGGGCGGCTCAGTTCTCCGTCCTCCGCTGTGTTTCTGTAGCAAGAGAGCCCGGCGTCTCAGCGTGTGACGCGGCGTCTCAGCGTGTGACGCGGCGTCGGCCCAGCTTGGCAAATCATGTGCGTTTCATCTGCGCAGGATCGAAACCTGGAGGAGGAAGAGATGACGTGAGGGAGGAGGGAACCGCAGGAGGAGAGGCAGGGCTTAGAAGGAGGGGAGTGGGGAGCCACCAGGAGAAGAAATAACCGAAGTGTATTAGTGTATTAGCCAGGCCTGCAGCCACTTACACGTCACCCCTGCACTCGGGAGGCTGAGGCAGGAGGATTGCCGAGTGCTGTGAGGTCAGGACCAGCCCGGACAGCAGAGTGAGAGCCTCTCAGCAAAAGGAAAGAAAACAAAAGTTGAGATGCCTTGATATGCACAGATGAACACACGAAAACGAAGCCATTTTTTTTGCATTACTGAAAGGAATAACTAAGTGCAAAAGTGTCCTGACGATTATTTCCGTGTTTATTTCCCGAATGGTGGGGCAAAGGTGCGCAGGATGGTGGGGCAAAGGTGCGCCCTGGCAGGGCGGTGAGGGCATGGGGGCAGTCTAGGTGGCGGCAGTCGGACCCCAGGGCTGCAGGGAACCTGAGCGAGCCTCGCCCCAGCAGCCTCCGTCACCTCTGCCAGGAGACCCCTGGGTCCCCAAGCCTCTGGCGCTGTCCAAGCCAGATTGTCCTCCACAGATGTTGCCTCCTGTCCCCTCCCCTAAACCCTCGCAGTGAGAGGAGGCTGCGCAGCTCTCGGGAGGGAGGCCTGGGTGGTCACAGCCCCAGTGGGCCATCACGTAAGGGCAGCTCCCACCTCCCGAGACACCTCCTGTCTCTTGGACTTTCCCAAGGCCCCGGGGCCTCCTCTGAAGGTTCTTGGGCCTCTACAGCATCTTTCTTCTGTGACAGTGGGTTTTGAGGACTGGTTACTGAATGTATAAAAATGTAAGTTCCAAAAGTTGGCTCAGGAGGCTGAGGCAGGAGGATCCTTGCACCCGCCTTACACAGTGAGTTCAAGGGCAGAAAATATCTTTGTATCCAAAAAAGATCTGCACAGCTGGGTGTGGTGGAGTACACCTGTAGTCCCAGCACTTGGGAGGCTGAGGTAAGAGGATTGCTGTGTGTTCAAGGCCAGCCTGGGCTATGTAGTGAGTTCATGGCCAGCCAAAACTAAACAGCGAGACCCTCTCTATCTGAAAGACAAAAGTCAGCATACATTTCATTCTGTAACGTATGAAGCATTAGCCTGCTGAAGTTTGTATTTCTACATAAGAATGAGGAAGGCCGGGCATAGGGGGGATGCTCATAATCCCAGTGCTTGGGAGGCTGAGGCAGGAGGATCACAAGTTCAAGGCCAGCCTGTGCAATTTAGCGAGATGCTGTCTCAAAATAAAAGGGCCAAGAGGGTGGCTCCATGGTAGGATACTCCTGGCTCAACCCCTGCACCACCAAAAGTTTTTTTTTTTTGTACTGGGAATCAAACTCATGACCTCTCGCTTGCCAGGCAGGCGCTGTGCCGCTGAGCGAAATCCCCAGCCCCCAAAAGTTTTTTTTTTTTTTTTTTTGGTTTTTCTCCGGTACCGGGAACCAAACTCACGACCTTGCGCTTGCCAGGCAGGCGCTTTTGCCGCTGAGCTAAATCCCCAGCCCTCCAAAAGTTTTTTAAGAGCCTAATTTATCACATTGCAGCTTCATACGCGGGACTGAGAACAGGAGAACGGCAGGTGTGGGAGTGGAGATTGAGGCCAAGGCGCCCTTGTGTGCCCCGCAGCCCAGGGCAGGGGTGCTGTGTCACATGTCCAGGGCATAAATATGTTGAAAAGCTCTGAGATTCGAGCTGTCTACCAGGAGAGCAAACAGCTAGCCCAGCACCGTCCACACAGTGACCGAGTGACCTTCCAAGGATCTGGTTGCTTCTTCCTCTCCTCCTTCTCTTTCTCTTTTTTTCTGTTTTTGTTTTTGGTTTTGGTTTTTTGAGACAGGGTCTCACCATGCAGCTCAGGCTGGCCTTGAAATTACTTTGTAGCCCAGGCTGGCCTGGAAGTCACAGAGATCCTTCTGCCTCAGCCTCTTGAGTGCTGGCATTACAGGCACGCGCCACCATGCCCCGCCCTATTTTCATTTTTAGAAAAGAATATTTCCATCAGAGGAGGAAAAAAGAACTCACACATTGAGTTCTTCTGTACACCATATGAACCTTCTCAAGGAAATCATAAACTATTGTCTACTTAAGTAGTGTTTAGAGAAAATAATTATCCCAATTTATAGTAAATGTCAGCTCTGAAACTCTAATGTGTTCTAAAATTAAAATCCAAAATAATATGGAGATATCTAAATTGACTTGATGAATCTCAGTGATTACCAGCTTTAATGCAGTATTAAATTAAAGACAGACATAATATTTCCAAGAGAAATGTTGTCTGTGCTTCATTTTAACTCAGAACTAGCTTCTGTTGTAAATTTAAT